GGGCTCCTAGCCCCGCCCCTCCCTGCCCGGGCACGAGGCGGCGGTTGCGCCTGGGGGGCTGCCCCCCCTCGGCCACACGCGCACGCCCACACCCGGGCAGCTGGCCCGGGCCCGTGCACCGCACAAACACACACGTGCACAACTATGCAGCTGGCCCAGGTCCCTTGTACGTCACACACTTGCACATGCGCACAACCATGCCGCTGGCCAGGGTCCCTTGCAACACACATGCACATGCGCAATCAGGTAGCTGGCCTCGGTCCCTTGTACCCCCCCCCCCGCACCCCCATGCCACTGGCCCATGTCCCTTTTACCCCCCCCCACACATGCACATACAAAACCATGCCATTGGCCAGAGTCCCTTGTAACACCCATACACACAACCATGTCGCTGGCCTGGGTCCCTTGTACCCCCCTCCCAACACACACAACCATGCCACCTGCCAGGGTCCCTTGTAATGCACATACACACAAACATAAACATGTCGAGTGCCCAAGTCCCTTATACCCCCCCCAAATATAAACACAACCATGCCACTGTCCCATGCCACTTGTACTCCACGCACATACACAACCATGCTGCTGGCCAGGGTCCCTTGTAATACACAACCGTACTACTGTCCCGTGCCCCTTGTACCCCCACACACATGCACATACACATACACAACCATGCCACTGGTGCATGTAGCCCCCCCCGGCCGCATGATCACCCAGGTTGTGGACACCCCAAGGCAGGTCTCCTCCTATACCAGAAACACTGCCCCTGAGCCTTTGGAGATTTCCGTTCGGCTTTCAATGTGATGTAGGACCTAAGAAACCAGAGTGGAGTCATTCTTACTCAGTCCACTAAAAAGAGCAGCTACGCGTGCACAATTCATGACGGGATCGTAGCCACCTCACCGAGACTTCACTTTCATGGCAGGGGGACATGTTGTGGCAGAGGGCACATCCGCGCCTGTAGCGCTCCGTGACAAGCCGTTCTGCAGTGTCTCCCCTGCGGAAGATCACACAGAGCTCTGCAAACGCTTTGAATAAAGAGTTGCCATTGTGGCTTCTGTGGCTCTCCCTGGCTTTATGGAGGGCTGGCTACAAACAGAAATAAGGAAGCATGGTAATGCTTTATCCTGAGATGGGGTCTGTCAGCGCTCAGATCTGGTTTCCTTCTGTGAAGCAGAGGGGCATTGGTATCGCAACTGAGGTAGTTGGTTTCCAACAACTAAATTGCCTTGCATAAAAAACAATCCAAAAAGCCAGAATGACCCAAAACTTCCAGACTGTAAAATAAAGGCAAATGCAGCCCTTATTTACCTCTATACCACTCCCATGATATCATCAGTCCCAGAGTAGTAAACAACACAGTTTTGCCTGAAGGACCTGAAAGAAATAGAGTTAGGGGTTACTGTTGTTCCAAGAGAATTAAAACTAGTTGGCTTTAATTACTCCAATATTAAACAACCCAACTGCCTAACAATTAAGGTATTCTAGAAAAAAAAAGTTTCCTCATAATCACAACCCACTTATCAGTTATTTTTCGAGTGGCTTGTTTTGAAGATGAGAGGACTTACACAGGAAATGAGTGTTACATTATTGGGTAAAAATGATCACCTATTCAGGTTTGACATCACAATAGGCGGAGATTTCATGGAGATCACACAACAAGAGTGAACTATTTTAAACTGGAGAGGAACAGTGTGAAAAACCTATTGATCTGGGTGCTATTTACAGGAAAATAAGTAACCATCATATAAAGGGCAAAGTTCCTGGTAAGTCTTACAAACAGCAGGAACAAATGTAATTGTAAAATACTGCAACTCATCCAAGTTGTTACTGGGATTAGCATTAGGGCCTGGAGTTCATTTTATACTTACTTGAAGAAGTGAACAGCAAGTTGTAGCAGGGCAATGATGTAGGAGGACATGACACTAAAGAAGCCTAGTAAGAAACGGAACATATTCCTGGCTTTAATCACTGATCTGCATTAGGGTCATATAATGAGAGGTGTCAGCATCCATTGACTGCACAGTTAATGGAGTACATACCTTTTTTATTCAAATTGAATGCAAATAAAAACATGAATGGAGTTAAAATAAGAATAAAAAATTAACATGGACATTTAAAAATAAAGTAGGAAGTCAAGGATGAAAACTTAGGTAAAAAGGTAGAAAATTTGCACCCTTTGTGAAGATGAATATTTTATCTCATTCAGTACTACTAAACCCCAAGAATTCAAAAACCATGATTTTCTTTCCTTTTTTCTTTGATAAATAAACATTGTGTTCTTTGACTTGTTGCATGGTTACTGAGCTGTTTGCATGCACTTGGGTCACAAACGTAACCATGAAGGCTAGGAGCTTCCTCTTTCAATTGAAAGCTGAGGTTACCACATAAACCTGTGATTTTAGAAGCTAGGACTTCAAGAAATACACCAAATATCACAGGAATCCAGATAAAAGGACAAGAGTTTATTTGATATTGTCAGTGATTGTACACTTTGGTGGTGTGTAGATGTCTTCAGACCCTCCTCTAGGACTGCCCATGAGACAGGTAGGAGATAATGACACGATCAGTTGCTTTGGCAGGTTGCTAGCCATGCTTCCCCACACACCTTACATTCCCCCAACTTATAAATAAGATAGCTCTTTGACATTCTTTTCTTAGTATTCTTCATGTTCTAGTTTTCCGGTACATAGCTCCTTTTGCAATTACTTCTGACTTACTGTGCTTGACTCAAGAAGCTTGCTGGATGCTGGTTATTGTTTCTCTGTCCCTGATAAACCTGGACATTGGTGACTGTGACAGATCATTTCAAAGTGTGTTGTAGTATTCTAACAATACTCAGCCTGCAAAGATTTCATTCTTAATCAAGTTCTGAGCTATTTGAACTGATTCCTGCTAACCCCTTGAGTAGGCAAGAAATGCCATCTCAATCACTGGTAAATTGTGAGTCACTTTATTTACTTTCTGGCACCTCCTAGTGTTTACAACACACTCTTGCCTTGTTACTTGAAGTATTGTGCAACACCTCTGCTTAAAAAATAATTCAATTGTAGTTCACTAATGAAAGGTAATCTTTACATTTGATTCAAACAGTCCTTGGGCTAAGGGTGACTAGGAGTGTCACACAGTTTCATTCGTCAGGTATCCAAAGTGTAACCGTATTGGTCTGGAGGCAAAAGAAATCAGAACTCGTGGTAGAGGTGATACCTTTTATTAGGCCAACTAGATTTTTGCAAAAAAAATAAATCTTTAATTGCTGAAAGCTTGCAATTAAATAATTTTTAAAAGATATCACCTCTACCACGAGTTCTGATTCCATGTAGTTTCATCGGCTCTTTTAGCGAAGGCTATTGCTTGGATTCCCAGATTTGCATTAGCTAAATAAATAAATTGGCTCTTTTGAACTCTGTTTACGCAGGTTGTAACTTGCACACTTACATATTTTACTTTCTATTATAGTGTTCATGCCTAGCTAGAACCAGACATTTCAGGCTCTGCCTTTGCACTTTATATCCATGTGACCACTGTGGAGTATGCTGTGCATTTCCAACATCAGTGTCTGGTTTTACAATAGTGTCCTTTATCCAGAATTCATCACGTGTGACAATTTCATGTTCATAGTTTCAATAAAAGTTCAGCTTGGAGTACTTAAGATTCTTCTTTTGGCTATCCCTTTAGAATTATTCTCCCAAGCTTGTATAGGATTGTATTTTTCATTTGGGTTTGCCCAATTTTGTTTTAGAAATAGTGGTGTGTGTCACATTAACTTCACCTTCTTTTCCTTAAAACTTCTGGCTATAATAAGACAGTCCTGCTATAAACCACTTACCTGACCTGTATTTCATATTTCCTGTGTAACCATGCTTCATAATCATTTCCTGAAGTCTTGATGGTGCTTTGTACAATAATTTCCTAGACCAGGGGTTTTCAACCTGTGGTCTGTGGACTCCTGGCAGTCCACAGACTATATTAAGTGGTCCACAAAAGATGACTATGATCAATCAAAAGTAAGTGAATACCCACACTTACAATTCTAAGGGGTCCACACCTCCGTTCAAAATGTCCAAAGGGGTCTGTACCTCCATTCAAAATGTCCAAAGGGGTCTGTACCTCCATTCAAAATAGGTTAGGCAAATGAAATGAAAGCAAAACAAATGAAAAATGGTTGAAAACCACTGGCCAAGACTATTGTTTCCAGGGGTTTAATTTTTTTCTCTTCTAGTTGATTACTGTTCATAGTTATATACATGAAACTGCTCACAATTACAGTTTCCATATTTTTTTTTTCAATCTTGGCATGGTTTTGAAGTGCTTTAGTCAGTGCTCAAAGAAAAGAACACTACAGTCCAAACTTATTCCTTCTAGGTAATCAGTAACAACCCCTTTACTTATAAAAACCTCACAATTGCCCAGCAATCCTGCTAATGTGAAGCCAATGCACCCTAGATTTGTATCCATATCGGCTCTGAGCTGCTGCTGTTGCTACTACTGTTGACTGGATTGTTGCCGAGATAGAACCATTCTTCATACCGCCCATGGGCAGAAATAAATGTATTATCTGCCTACACATGCTCCAGATTGTTGAAGGCAGTTCCTGTTTACCTTTGGACAAGAGCCCATGGAAAAAAATGGAACCAGCTCCCATGTTATATACAGTTCAGCCATTATGCACAGGAGGGAGTGTAATTCAGTGGTTAGATCACAGGCCAGGATATCAGGAGTTTTAGGGACAATAATACAGTCCTCAAATAAGGGCTGGAGGGGTTTTGTGTGCACTACACAGTTTGAAGTCCTCTGATGATTTGTGCTTGAGAATGCAAAGCGTTATGATGTTCTAAGACTGAGTGAGATACAGATTTACTGGTATCTGGTATGAAGTTGCTGTTGCCTTTCTATAAAC